CCCTCCCCCTTTATATCAGGACAGGATCTTTTGGACTTGTGGCCCCATAACAATATCAAATACAATTTTAATAGAGAGGAGTATTTGTGTAATTGTATGTATCATTTAATGAATTGCTGAATAAATTAATAGATCAAACAAACAAAAAAAAGAGCACCCTGCCATTGACCAAAATATGTGACCCTGGACCACAAAACCAAGTCGCTGGGGTATATTTGTAGCAATAACTAACAATACATTGTATGGGTCAAAATTATTGCTTTTTCTTTTATGCCAAAAATCATTAGGATATTAATTAAAGTGTTCCATGCAGATATTTTGTACATTTCCTACTGTAAATATATCAAAACCTATTTTTTTATTAGTAATATGCATTGCTAAGGACTTTATTTGGACAACTTTAAAGGCGATTTTCTTCTTGCACCTTCAGATTCCAGATTTTCAAATAGTTGTATGTCAGCCAAATATTGCCCTATTCTAACAAACCATACACATTTCCTACTGTAAATATATAAAAACCTATTTTTTTATTAGTAATATGCATTGCTAAGGACTTTATTTGGACAACTTTAAAGGCGATTTTCTTCTTGCACCTTCAGATTCCAGATTTTCAAATAGTTGTATGTCAGCCAAATATTGCCCTATTCTAACAAACCATACATCAATGGTAAGCTTGTTTATTCAGTTTTCAGATGATGTATAAATCTCAATTTCAAAAAATTGACCCTTATGACTGGTTTTGTGGTCCAGGGTCACATATGAATTTGATATAATCCGACCTGATTTTCAAGTATGGTTTCAGGGTGAAAAATACACACATTGAGTGCTGAAGCCAGTGTTTTGCTGACTTTTCCAGCAGAACGGCTGACACATCTCTCTGTGTGATCTGGCTGACATGCCCACATAGCACCTGTAATCAGGGGCTGCCAGCAGTGCCCGGGGGGACATAAAGCAGTGTGGCGATGCCCCGCCGTGACAGCCGTCCTTGTTTCAGCTGACAGGTCCGTATGCGGGGCCGGAGCGGCGACAGCACTCGTGTAAATACAGGCAGGAGTCTCTGCCTCTGGGGAGATAATGTTATCTCCAGCGTCAAGGAGTTCTCCCATCCCTCCTCCACAAAAGCCCATCCCCTGAGAAGCACACGGCATCTCGCACCCACAACTCCCCTCTCACCCTGCCTACACCGCAATCCTGGCACTCACCTCTGTCACATCTGCAGGGACTCGTGCTATTGTGGTGAAAACAGAATGCGTGAACTGCAGAGGTTCACTTACTGGTTGCTGAATGTATGTATGTGAATATGTGCCCTTGCCATGTCCATGGCATTGTGGGGCACAGCTAGTTTGGATTTACCATGCCTGCTTTCCCCTGATGTTCAAGGAATGTGAATTACTCCACAGATTCAGAAGGGTCTCTACACATGACCTCCAACAGAAGGAGGCAGAGCCGATGAAATTGACTAATCTTCCCTTTCCTTTTTTCTTTTTAATTAAAAAGAGATTTTAAGTGTGAAAGTATTCTCTTTTTTTGCCTCAAATGCAGTGGATTTTCACAGATATTCAAGTCAGCTGGATTTTTCAAGGTGGGAGGCACAGCAAGGAAATTAACTTTAAAGAAAATAAAACACAAGTAACTAAAACGTCGTCTTTGACTGCTCGACTAATCCTCCCTTTCCTTTTTTCTTTTTCATTAAAAAGAGATTTTAAGTGTGAAAGTATTCTTTTTTTTGCCTCAAATGCAGTGGATTTTCACAGATATTCAAGTCAGCTGGATTTTTCAAGGTGGGAGGCACAGCAAGGAAATTAACTTTAAAGAAAATAAAACACAAGTAACTAAAACGTCGTCTTTGACTGCTCCATCTGAACACATTTAATTATTTATAACAAAGTTGGCCTGCCAAAAACAAGAGACAATACAAACTATAATCTATACTAGAAACTTTACTAAACCACTGACAGTGTATAGACCAGCCTATATACTAATAATTGTCAATTTAGACATGCTTGACGCTCTTTGCACCTCATGCTGACGTAAAGAGTAAAGGTCAGTCTATGCAAACATCTGCACTCAGAAGAAAAGGTACAAAAGCTATCAATGGGGTGATACTTTTTCAAAAGGTACACTTTTGTACTGAAGGGTCCATATTGATACCTTAAAGGCACACATTAGTACATAAAGTGTACATATTAGTACATAAAAGGTACAAAAGCACCTTTTGAAAAGGTACTGCCCCAGTGACAGCTTGTGTTGTGAAGCTTAACAATACTGTAGTTATTTGTATAAGTAAAACTTACTGCAATTTGAGGAATGCGGGCCAGTCTGGGCATGTTTTTACAGTATTTTTCTTGTCAATAATCAAGCCGTTCTGACAATAAATCACAACTAACCACATGAAAAGAGACTAGATGGATTCCCATTTGAGTATATGTGGTGTGAAGGAGCAAAAATTTGTTTTTTTTGTATTTAGGAGGAACTGTGATGAGTAACAACCAGAACAACCAAAATACAATCTGACTACAATAAAATAGTCAATGGGAAGTTATTAGGAAATTTTTGCCTTGAAATTGATTGGCTAAATTGTAGAGTCCCTGAACTGTAACTGTGTAGTCTGTGAAGTACTTAATGAGATGTGTGCTTTTGAATGCGGACTAAAAAATGTTGATGTTTCTAAAAACTGATCAGTTGATCAAAAAGTGTATCAATTCTCAAAGGCAGAATTATAAATATAATTACCACAATGGCCATACATAATTTTAAACATTTAGAGAATTCTTATTCTAATAATGGCTTTAAACGAACAAAAAGCTTATATGTGGAATTTTGAGGAACCGAAAAAAGTTTTTTTTGAAAAACGCAAACAATGTATAATTATTTAATATGTATACAAAGAACTCATCACATCCAAAATTCAAAACAGACCGAAAAAAGTTGTACAGATTGATCTTTTTATTCAAGTACAGAATATATTTTTTCACGTTGCAGGTTTTAGTCCATTTCTCAAAGAATCGATACAAGTACACTTCTAGAACAGTCATTGCCTCGTAAGATTGCCACCCACAGTTCATGGTAAATCTGACACTAATGCATTACATTTTGAAACGAGCACTTGTGGGACACTTGTGGTGCACTCTCATAGATTATCATAAAATTGAGAAAATAAATTATGAGGCTAAATCACTGGGCAACAAACTGAGTTTCAAAGTGCTTGTGCGACCTTATTTTGTCTCTGGAAACTATTTAGTGAAGCACTTTGGCTTGTTGCATCCCCTTTCCCTCAAATATGTGATTTATATTTGTTTTTTACTTTTGTTAGACTTATATAAAGCATGACATTACCTAAAATATCAAGTAAACTAAAATGAATATATTAGATTGATTAATCAATAAGGAACAAAATGTCACTATCCTAAATAACTACACTTGTCCCGCAACAATATTTATCCATCTCGAGAAAATTTCCAAAAAAAAGCAAGAACTCAAAGATCAAGGGTAATTATAAATGAATCAGTATAGGTTTTTACAAAATGCAAAAGAAGTACAAAGAATAATTACATATAACCTCTCACATCCTCAGTAATTCATTATGCTAATGTAGCAAAACAAAAGTCAATAGGTCTTCAGACGAGCAAAGACAGTGCATATGTATTCAGACGTGTTCACAGATATGACTCTGCTCTTTCCCAGAGTTGCATCTCAGAGAAGAATCCCTCACAAAGCCCATAGGCATGATCCAAGGTAAGTGGGATGGCTTGGACTTCCTCTTTAATCTCCCAAGGGTGCTGATGCTGGTGAACCTGATCTGTGAACATTCCCTCGTAATATTGCGGATGGACCTGTACTTGCTGGTGGTGCTGTTGGTGAAAGTCCTCCATGTTGGATCCCATCATGCCGTTTGCCTCTAGGTAAGCACAAGCCTGTTCGTCCTCATTGCTGTAGCCAGGCCCGTGCTGGTTCTGTGAAGATTGCTCCATCTCGCATCCCAGCGAGCTCAGCGCTGTGTTGATATCCAAATCCTCAAACGTGCTGTCATTCCCACTTAACACATCGTCAAAAACAGACGCCAGGTCAAAATCTCCTCTCAGTACGTCTGAAGTTTTAATGTCGGTGGTTAACAGAGGGCTCTTGGAGACTCTGGCCAGCTTGCTGCCTCGTTTGGGGAAGACTTGCTTGCGTTTGTTTCCTGGGACAGGTCCTTGGAAGTGGCCCATTCCCATTTGTTGGCCGGTCTGGTTGCACTGAGAGCCGTACGAGGAGCTGGGAGAGGATAACATTTTGCTCTGTCTTTGGGTATTGAAGTTTGTGGCAGGCATTCGCCGCCGTTTGAAAACGCCATTGACAAACATGTCAGCGTACTGCGGGTCGATTTGCCAAAAGCCTCCTTTTCCTGGCTCGTCTTTCTGTCTGGGCACTTTCATGAAGCATTTGTTCAGGGACAAGTTATGGCGGATTGAATTCTGACAGAAAGGGAGAAAAATCAGTTTATTTGAGAGTTACGAACAAGAATAGCAGGTTTTTAATATTTATATTTTAATTAAAAAAATTATTAGGCAAATTTAATTGAGCTGTTTGAATGCAGAGCCAACATTATGGTTGTTTTTAGAGTTTTAGACTTCCAGTGACAGAAGACGGAACACATAAAGCTTCCTATAAAATCCCACTGTGCAGCAGGTAGAGGTGTCCTATTTCATTGGCTCACTGTGTGTGTGACAGAGACAAATGGGGGAGGGGAATGTTGCGTGTACAGGAGTAGATATGTGGTGAATAAGGCTGAGGCTCTCCCTTAAGGATCCCTCATTATGGAAGGAGGCCTCAGGAAACCGAGTGCTCTTAGGTATAGTGGTCTCAGCTTCCATCATCAGTCACCCTAGCTTAAGTATACTGTAGATGAGTGCACAGGTCTGTTTTGGTTATTTCTGTATTGAACCATAAGACCATGGTTGACTAACAGCAGTTAATAGTGATTCACGAATGAATAGCTCTTATGAATTGGTTCTTTTGGGTGAATCAGAAGCATGTGTGGTCCGATTACCAAACAAATGACTGAAACAGTTCTTTTTAGTGAGAATCAGAAATATACAGATATACAAATATAGAAAGACTCACAAACGAATGACTCTTATGAGCCGGTTCTATTATAGTGAATCAGAAACATACAGAGATACAAATGTAGTCTTGTATGAAACAAGTGTAGTACACTGTAAAAAAATTTCGGTAAAATTTACGGTAAAAAAACGGCAGCTGTGGTTGCCGGAATTTTACCGCAAAAAATACGGTAGCAACATTTTAGGTTTTTAGGTTTTAACTTAAATTTACAGTTAAATACCATAATTTCATTAACTGATATAATGTTAATATACCAACCTATTGAAGTACTGAAATCTGTTTTGTACCTTTGTAATACACTGATAACCACCAAATGCAGGTGGCGATGGGAAAGTCACATGATGAGCCAAAGCCCATCACAAGCAGCTTTTAAATAATAACATATATAGAAGGTGCACATGTCATTCACACAAATGCTAAACACCATCATGGTAACACACATGAAACTGAAATAATGCAATAAACATTAATTTAACAACATTAGGTGTAACACACAACCCTAATATACAAAACTGATAAGAAAAAAACTAAGAAACATAGTTATTTCAACAAAAAAACATCAAATTTGAAATGTAACGCAGGGAATTCTGGGAATGTCAATTTACGGTTATTCACTGTAAATTATAAGTTCTATTTCACTTCAAAAAACGGTATACTACCGTAAAATTAATGTC